CAGTATGAAAACTCATAACTCCTGGCAGGCTCCTGATCTTCATTTGGAAGCCACAGCCTATTTAGTTTAATTACTTCCTGCTGTGGGCTTTGTGTTCCACATGAGTTTTTTTTCTAGATTGAATTACTCACTCTCGTGGCTTGTGAGGTAAAGACACTAGTAAATCCCATCAAAGCTCACTTCTCCTATGTTGTCCTCAGGAAGAAAAAAAAAAATCAATATACTTAAGTACTTAAGATCCTGGTAATTTTACAGTAGCCTGTACACACTTTATTTGAATTAGATGCTCTTTTAGGCACAAATTTTTATATTTTGTGAATTGCATGTGATCAGAGTCCCAATAAAACTAGCACAGAGCTATCATGGCCATATGCATGCTGTGGGCTTTGTGTTCCACATGAGTTTTTTTTCTAGATTGAATTACTCACTCTCGTGGCTTGTGAGGTAAAGACACTAGTAAATCCCATCAAAGCTCACTTCTCCTATGTTGTCCTCAGGAAGAAAAAAAATCAATATACTTAAGATCCTGGTAATTTTACAGTAGCCTGTACACACTTTATTTGAATTAGATGCTCTTTTAGGCACAAATTTTTATATTTTGTGAATTGCATGTGATCAGAGTGCCAATAAAACTAGCACAGAGCTATCATGGCCATCTGCATGCTGAGGAGGGCAGCTGAACTTCAAGACCGGACCTCCTGGGTTTGCTAACATTGGTCCAATTGCAGTTGGGAGATATTTGTAAAAAAGCTGGCATGTAGACAAGTCCTTCCTGAGCAAGTTATTCAAAGTATTGAATAAATTATTTTAATGTATTTTCTGTGAAGAGCACAAACATAACCTTCAAGCAACTATTCCCCTCCCAACCACAAAATACAAAGCGTGTTAACTAAAGCTGATGTAAAATACTGCCTTATTCATATTAACACGCAGGTGGCTCCCAAGTCTCCACACTGCCCCGCACAGGAGGGCTCTTCCAGGGACCTTCCCAGTCTGAGCTACTTAATCCTGCAGCTCCCTGAGAGTGCAGCAGCTCCACACATGCCCCGGTGCAACTCGGAGCTTCTCTGAGCTCTGAATGAGAAATAAGCAGGGTAGGCCCCAGGCTAACTTGATCAAAAGCAATAAGGACAGCAGAAATGCATCATTTCTGGAATAATTTTGGCTTGTCTTCTCTATATAAAAAAGTATATTTCAGATCTGAAAAGATTTCCTGCTGCCATGAAACAAATTCCTATTTTTCCAGCAGAACTGGCTAGTTGAGTTCAACTGTAGGGAGTTTTATCTCAAGTTAAGACAATACCTTCCTCCCACTCTCTGCAGTGAGGGCAAGTCAATCAGTGAAGTAAGCTTTCAAGGGCAGTAATTGTCATGTTGACTTACTGATGGGGGAAAAAAGAACCTCTGAGGACAGGTTTGGAGCTCCTTGCCAGGGAGCACTGCACGTTCACAAGCACCTCTCTGGCTGAGCTCCTTGCCAGGGTTTTGCTGCTCCTGCCATCCCCTGCGGCAGGGTGGGAGAGCAGGACGTGGTCCGCACGCGGCGCGTCCGCGGTGCTCCCCCAGCACTGCCCGGTGCTGCTACCTTGACTGCTTCAGTTTGCAACAGCCTATGGCTTGTTACGAACTGGCTAAGCAGTCGCTGGTTCAGATTTAGGTCTAATTTATCCACTTGTGAGACCAATGAGGCAAGTGTCATCTCATCTTGAAAGAGGTCAACAAAACAAGTTAAATTCTCTTGTCACTCACCTTCTCCTCGGCATCTGTGTTTCCATCAATCTTTCTCATGGCATTCTGGACGCGGGCAAGACGGCTGGACAAGCACAGCAGGAGACTCACCACCTTCTCCAGGTCCCCAATGAACATCATGTAGCGCTCAAACTCGTTGGGTTTGCAGACACTCTGAACCAGAGCCTCGAGCGCGCTGCCGCGCTCTGCACATTCCCTGCTTTCGGAGAGCACCAGCTCCCGTTCTTCCCACAGCATCTGCAGCTTTGATCGGAGGCTCGAGATGAGTTCCATCTGCAAAGGGGGGAAGCGCACAGAAAACTGTTACTGCCAAAGAGAATTCAAATTACTTAAAGAGAATGAGCTTTCCTTACAGCATCTCTACCAAATTTTAGACTTCTTTTAAAAGAATTGTAAGCTTCTGAAGAGAAAAAACAATGGAAGGATTTTCCAAAGTATACTTAATTCTCAAGCTCTGAAGAGCATGTAATCATCTTAAACTGGAGATATAGTCCCTAGCTCAGCAAACTTCCAAACAGAGTTAGGAATAAACTAGAAGAAAGATTACAACACGATTACACACTGTTATGCTCCAAGACCTGAGCAGGAAGTCACAACTCTATTGTACCAAATGTTACAAGAACTGACAGGAATTCATTTGTAATCTACACAGAAAAAGGAGATATCACAGGGAATTCACAGGTAAGCCAAATAATCCTGTGTAAAAAACCAAGAGAGGGAGTTAATATGGAAAGTGTCAAGTGTTAATATGGAAAAAGGCCCAGGGATCAGAGTGGGAGAGCAAATGTATCAGCTTGTGTGAAAATCAGCTAATGCTGACAGGAACAGGAGCAGCAGCTCAACCACATGCAATACAAAATATCAGCACATCCGCGTCAGGAGGAATTTCAGGAAGGCAGATTGTAATTACCTGGATGGAATATGGCCAGGTTTCTACAGAAAAAGAAAAAATAAATCTTCAAAGCTACATATTACTCTCTCAAGATACCATAATCCTATCAGTAGAACCCTAATCCAACTATAGCCAAACTGACTTTATTCTCTGCATATATGAAAGCGAATAGATAAATGTAGCATAGCAGTAGAAACTGCTGCCAGTTCTTTTAAGATGCATTCCTAATTTAGGCTGCCAGTCATAATGAATTTTACAGCTTTTGAGAGCAGATCTGAGTGCTAAACTGTGAGTCAGCTGCTGCACAGGAGCTGGCCTTGCAAGGAAGCCTATAACCAATTTTGCTGTGTATTTCAGTACATCCATCCCCGGTGACATAGTGAAGATAAGTATGTGAGAGGAGGGATTTAAATAAAACCAGAAGGATTTAAACACCACCATTTATGATCAATATACACACTTATCAGGACTTTAACTGTTAACCTACTGAAAAAATACTGACTCAGAAGCATCTGCAAAGGAATATTACTGGCATAATAGCCATGAAGAAAAGTGTCCGCAATAAGACATGTGATATTAATAACTTTGTCACAGTAAAGAAACAATCGTTCTTTTCATGGTCATCTACCTACTTTCTTGGATGTGATGTCATCTAGGTCATTCATGCTGTCTCTGCTGCTATTCAGGGTTTGGTTCCCCTTAGAAACAGGATCTCCTTTCCTCTGCTCAGCATTGTGTTCAGCTTCAGGGCTTTCTGCTGATAGATCTTTATTATCTTTCCTACTGTTGAACAGAAAATAAGCACATGTCAAACAGGAGTCTGTCCACAAACACTGCGTTTGCGATTGGTATGTGTTGCTACTTCAGAATCACCTCTTCTCAAATCCAGAGCATTTTGGATTTTTGCAAATGCTACTGTGTGGAAACCACTTAGCTTGGCTGAACAGCAGCTGTTTTACCCCAGCAGAACTGGGCTAAATTTGTCATACATTAAATACTCAACTACCAGTGCTCAGCCTCCTTGGTTCCACACTTTGAACACACAGCTCGTTTGGCTCCGTACAGCTATTGCTTGTGGCTTACTCCATGTTTCTTCCTCTGTTTCTCTTTCCTAGCCCTCCGCCCACAGCCTAAGATATTTCTCAATTTGTAAATCAGAAAAATATTTTGCTAATGAAACAGAAAGAAAAAAAAAACACCCAAGTCTTACTATTAGTATATACCTGATATCCATATGCTAAAATAGCTTGAAATACTAGATAATTATTTTTGTCTACTTACTCGTTCTCCTGCACATGTTGCACATCTCCCCTTCTCCTGTGTAATTTATCCAACATGGAAAGGTTAATAGGAAAAAGACCCTCCATCAAGTCTAGAGCAGTTTTTCTCATGGGACGAGGCATGAGAACGTCAGCCAGAGAACTGTCTTTGGCAATGATCTCCTTAGCAAGTTCTTCATAGCGCTGGTCTTCGGGAGACAGCAGCCTCCTTTTAGGCAGCCCTTTCTCTCCTTCTGGGAGGACACAGTCCTGTCTGCTCTGCACGGAGGGCTCCTTTGCAGCTAAATCATTGCCTGAACTTTTTTCTCCTTGATGAGGATGAACTACAAACACAGTTGGGCCATGCATTGCTTTCACCTGAGGGACTGCAAGATCATCTACCTCTAATTGCTGTCCAGTGCTTTTTATTAAAGCACTGCCATTCGGAAATTGAATTCTGCACTCCTTTTCCCCTTGAGGCGCTTCCTCGTTTCCATTTTTTGGGACAAGAATCGAGGTTTCAGAGGTGAGGTCCTTCCTATCCTGACAGCACGCGCTTCCGGCTACGTTGTCATCTCTATTTTCATGACTCTTACATTCATCTTTCTCAGCATCATGGAAACTGCAAGAAAGAAGGCAAAAGTTGCATTTATTTGGGATACTCTCCCTATGAGAGCCTCCTCCTCTCTGCAGGAGTCCGTCCTGCTGGCGGGAAACCAAAACTAGGTAAGGAATGAGAGGAAAGTGCTGAGGTCAAGGGATGGGTCCTGTCTGGCCCCCAGGATTCAAGCAAAATGATTCCCCCCATGAGTCTCTCAGCCAGGGGGAACTGTGTTAATGACAACTCAAGACTGAATCCTTTTCCTCTCTAGCAGCATTTTCACAGCCCAATGGGATTATGAGAGGGGAAGTAAAGAAGACAGGGAGAGGGACTGCATGGAAGGAAAAGCCTTGACATAACCAAGTTAAAGTGATAAATGAGCTTTGAAGCTGTGGGCACAAACAAACATTTTCATCCTCTAAACAGGAAGAAAGATTTTGCTTCATTTTTTCCCCTTTCTTTATCTCTTCCTCTGCGGTCACATATAAAAATAATACAGCTGTGATGGAGTCTGTCCTTTCTTCCCTAGGTCTTATTTACTCCTGGTTTTGTGCCCAGTGTAGGTCTTCTCTAAGCCATATGTGGAGATATGAACAACAACTTTTTATTTTCTTGCAGGAGACTGGGGCAGCAGAGAGCGATGAAGAGACGTCAAGTTTAACCAGGCAGCCCATGGGATAGCCAGTGTAGACACTGACAGACGTGCAGGAAATTGTCTTAGGTTTAGGAAAACACCCGGGGGCTTTGTTGTGCTAGGAAAGCTTTCAACCTTGTGGACTATTGTATTTAATCCCACGGCGCTTCTTGCATTTGTTTGCCTGGGCAGATTTCCCGGTGCGGATCTGGGAGGCGTCGCGGCCCGACTGGGTTTACTCAGCTAAAGTCCTGGGCAAGAGGCGCTGGGTGCCTGTGGGTGACACCAAGGGCTCTCCAGCAAAGCCAAACTATTCCTGAAATTCCATCCTTTCCTGTGGTTGCCCTTCTTCTAGGTTTGCAGAGACTCTGTTCTTTAGCTTTAACACAGTCTTTTTAGCCTTCCCATGCAAAAAAACTAAGAGAGTTTGGCCAAGCAAAGTTTAATGGGGTTTCATACTACATCATGACTAACACTGTTAGTTAGAGATATCTAATTTACTAGGCACATCTTTTCACTGCAATTAAAAGCAAAAATTGAATTTGACCTTGATTTGGCTGGTTCTGGTGATAAAAACTGCTTTTCCAGCATTGAGTGCATCAAAAATGGTGCTAAAAATGCTTCCTGAAAGCATCCCTATGGGATGCTACGCTTCCATGTCTCAGTTAAGCAATGGGTTGAGGAAGTACTTGGATGAACATGTCTTTATGAAGTGATAACATGATGAAAGGAAGAGATGAAGAGGCACCTAAGGAAATCACTGCAAACAGAGACTCTTGGGCCTTATTCTCACTTATTCAAGGCATCAAGTGGCCAAGGGTAAGACCAGTAGCTTGGGGAGCAGAGGCTGAGCTCAGATCTCACAGGCTGAACCAAACATCCAGAGCCACTATCATGGACAAGGGTAACAGTGAAGAAAATGACTGCAAAACTGCATGCAGTCTGGACAGAAGAAAATCTAATTATAGAGTTTATTACACAAGTGCCCACGTCACTTCCTTGCTGAGAAAAAGCTCAACTGCTCTTCCTCTGGTGACCCTAGATGAGCAAAACAGATATGGAGGGTGGACACAAACTTCTGAGTCATGTACGAATTTCATCGTAGTTTTATCTTAGGGATAGAAAAAATAAATAAATAAAAAGGAAAGGATGATAACACCCATCAAAAGCCCCTATTAGGAAGCACACTGTTTTTTCAAGACTGTGGGCCTGTCCAAGCTAATTCCAGATGCTGTTTTTGCTGGAGACCAGGTGGGGGAGCAACGATCCCAAATATCCACAGGACAGCTCAGGCTCTGCACTTTGTACGTTTTCCATTTCTGCTCTGCATGGTCGAAATGATTTTTAAAGAACACTCCACAAGGAAAGGAAGCGGCACAGTACACAGCAATTCCCACCGGAGCAGCGAAGGACCCGGGAAGCAAGGAGGGAGCAGCGGCGAAGCTCCTGTGTCCTGCGGAGCAGGGGTCCCGGCCCAGCCTTACCTGGGGGAGCCTGGGCAGGGGTCTCGGCTTCGGGCTGGCGGCGCTGCACAACTTGCACCTCTGGAAGGGTCCTGGAGAGGGAAACAGCACACGCAGGTGAGCAGCACTTCTAGACTGCACGACTGCCTCTGCAGCGGGCACTGCAGGTGACAGCGCCAGGGCCCGGGAGCAGAGGAGGGAATGAGCCGAACTGTCACTGCAGAGACGCGTTAGAAAGCGGCGTGAGTGCAGGCGGGACCTCGGGAGGATTTTCTGCTACCAAGTGAAAAAAAGACTGAGCTACAAAAGCAAAGCTTCAGTCCCATAACAGTTTGCAAGGGAATGCGGACAAAGAGACTTCTCCTAAAGAGAGCTTGGAAGACAGCAGATTCACAGACCCATCTTCCCCTATAGCTCACCCAAACGAGTCTCCTGAATGCCAAATTGCACATACACCCATTCACAGGGATTGTTATGTGCCCTGCGTGTCGCTAACCCTCGTGGGTTGCATATGATGCTTGTGCAGTTTGCTCCTGGAGACTTGACCCTCCCCGGGGCTGTAAGTTGCCTTTATCTGTGTGCCTGATCCATCCCAACAGGTAACTGCACCCAGTTCTGCGCACACCCTTCAGCCAGCACTGCCAGCAGCTTCCACTCCTGCAACTCTGCTACAACTCTTTCCATTAAAATGCATTGTTTGTTTGCCATAATTCCTTAAAGAGTACTTCGGAAAACACCGACTTATCATTAATCAGAACTATGTATGTTAAAAATGGTAGCACTTGAATGCAGAAAAGTTTATTTCTCCTGCACACTGCAGAGCAGACCATGCATTTTGTTTTTAAATAGCTCCACTGCACTTCTCGTAGAATAAACAAATCTGGCTTCTACATCTAGTGCTGAATGTTAGGAATCAAGTCTTAATTCCTCATTTGTGCCCTCAGCAGTTTTTCATGTGAATAGTCCAGTGTTCTCTACAGCGGGTGGAAGGCTTTACGCAGGACTCAAACCATGAGTGACTCTCCTAGTATTTTCCTTACCTGCGTGGCAGGAGGGGTTGATCTGAACCTCTCGGGGCGCTCGTTGGCGGACACACACCTGGAGCTGCTGCAGCTGCCGTCGGCTTCCTTGGGAGCCGAGTGCTGTTTCAAGGGCACCGCAGCAGCCGCAGAGCTGGGATGGCATCCACAGGTCAAGCTCGGTGGGGCAGCCGAAGCCACGGGAGCAAAAACCTCTGGAAATTCTTCTTCAGAGAAACTCTGGCTGAAAACCTCATTGTTTTGTGACCTCCTGGTTTTGTTTGCATTGGAAACCTTGCCAGAAGGCCATTTAGGATAGGAGGGTCTCTTCTGCACGGGTGGATTAGGCGGTGGGATGTGTTGTGAGCTGCCCGGTCTTTGGCTAATCTTTCGTTCCATGTATTCAATAAGTGCAGTATGTTGGATTTGCTTCAGCTCAGTCTTGGAGATACCTGAACTGGAAAGTGCCCTTCCTCGGTTCTCCAGAGTCTTTCTCCCAGCTTCCACTGTATCTTGCTCAGTAATTTCATCCCTGACTTGACTCCATGATACATCCTTATCCTCCAGCTGATTGAGTTTCTCAGGTTCAGAAAAGCACAGTTTCTTTTGCTCTTTTGTTACCCTTTTCCTTCCCCCTATTCGACCTAATTGTGTCCTCCTAATTTCTTCATCTTTACTGAGGTGTTCTACCAATTGCAGATGAGGAGGAGGATCAAGAACAAGTTTGGCATCCTCATTTGCACTGGATAATGAAAAAGATCTAAGATGTTCTATTGAAGATCTTTGCGAGGGTTTCTTTCTCAGCCTAATGGGCAAACTCATCTGCAAGTCTTTTCTTTTAAAAGAGGTTTCTCTCAGAACCCTTTTTTGAGCCACTTTAAGTTGCTCTCTGTAGTCATTCTTGAAACTCTCATCCACGGATGAGCCAGGACTCCCCAGAACAACATCTTCAGCCTCGTTCAGATCATCAGCAATGCACTGATGGTTGGGTTTGGGCTTTGGAAGCCAATTACTTTCCCTTTGTACATCTGTGGTTTGTGCTGGGGCAGAATAACTGCTCGCTGAAGATTTCTTTGGCAGGTTCCTCAAGTCCTCCTGGTGCTGGGCATGCTTCCTTTGATGCAGGGTGTTGGTGGCTTTCCCCCCAGAAAGATAGTAAAGAAGGGGAGTTGTCTGCCTGTTTATTTGCTCACTGGCAAGATCACCCTGCAGGTGTCTTTCGGGCTGATTTTGAAGCCCAGGTTGATGTTTGTGCAGACAAACAGGAGGTGCAGTTTTCTCTTGTTCTAGATGCACTGCAAAGTCAGGACTAATGTTATTAGCTTGCTTTTCTTTGTTGAATTCATTTAAAAAATGAGATGTGGCATTTTCCTTTGGTCTGAAAAAAGCAGTTTGGTTAGTATGATCACAGCATTGCTTATTTCCCTGATCCAGGTCCCCACAGCGAGGATACTCTGGCTCTACACTGCCCAAGCTGGGGGACACTGAGGATTTCTGCATTTTGGCTTGTTGATTGAGGATTGGTTCCCAAACACCATTCCCCATCTCTCCTTCAGAGTCATAGCATTCATATTTATCCGTACAACTGTTCGGCTTCTTTGATGCAGTTTTAGCTGGAAGAGGGTTTTCCGTATATTTTAAGTCATGGTTGTCCTCAGACACATCTTGACCCAAGCCCTCATGCAACCCCGTGTGGGCTGGGCACCGAGCGTGGGGCAAAGATCTTTTCCGCCAGCCGGGTTCTGGCACTGTGCTTTGCAGATCTGCTTCTCTGACATTTGGCTTATGCACAACGCAGTGATACTGTTTGTTTTCTTGTATATCATTAACAGTGGTAGGGTTGGTATGTGGCAGAGGGTAGGCTTTAGAGTTCATCTCCTCAGGAATTTTATAAGTGTGAACTGAATTAAAAGCAGAAAGAATTTTAGGGGCACTAGCCATGGAATCAGTCTTTAAGTATTCTTGAAAAATGAATGAAGAAGGTCTGCTGAAAATGTGTGGATTGCTTCTCTTTACAGGTTCTTGGCATAGACTCCGCTCTCCATTCTCCTCTGTCTTTAACCCCTGATTTTGTGACTTAGAGAGATCATTTTTTAAATCAGAAATGTCCTTGTGCTCCAGAGCCTTTCTCCCAGCTGCCGCTCTACCTTGCTCAGTAATTTCATCCCTGCCTTGACTCCAGGACACATCTCTGTCCTCCAGCCGACCGTCCCGACTTTATAGCTGTCGAGTCGCCTGGGCGGGGAGGGCGGAGGCGGCATCGGAGCCGCGGTCCCTCGGGCAGGAGCGTTTCCATGTCGCTCAGCGAGGCAGTCACGGTGACAGTTACTGTGGCCGCTCAGGTCCGGTGGCTTGTTCGGATGCGCGCACACGAGCTCGGAGCCGGCCGTGCTGAGGTTGTAAATACCCGTCACGTACTCCGAGTCCATGTACGCTGCCTGCTCACCGTAACACAACGGCACGTGGTACTCGGGGACGCTGGAGCTCCCGGAGAAGGAGCTGTAAGCAGAGTCGGCCTTTCCTGGGAGCTGCGAGAGGTGCTCGGCACCGCCGAGGGACTTGGCTGGCGAGACACGATTGCCGTTCTCAGAAGAGGCCGCTGGACCCACGAGCTCTCCTGCTTGCTTTGGAGCCCGTCTTTCCGTCTCATTCCCCGGTGAAGCCATGTTTACTGAATGGCAGCCCCTCCAGAAAGCAAAGTTGGATTAAATGTCCACAACAGAGTTGTTGTAAAAGCACATTTTGCTCTATCACTGTGGTCACATTTCAGTAACAGCCAGAGGATCCTAAAAAGAAACAGAAACATGTGAAAAACCCACCTTCAACAGGAGGGCTCCCATTCCCACCCAGGAGACTCTGCATTGATTGTCACTGGCATGTTCAAGGGAACACACACAAGGACTTGTCTCTCACTATACTCCAGAGGGTGATGGGATGTTTTATTTACAATTTTTCTGGTCTTTAGCTCACTACACCTGCAATTCCCGTTACAGCTGGGGTGATGTTAGTCCCTGGGGCACAGACTTCATCACCGAGTAAGAGATGGTCCAATGACCCAAGCACCGACGGCACTGAATGCTGCGGCCAGGTCTGTCCCGTCGAGGCTTTATGATGGGAACTGAGACAAACCAATCAAGAACTGCCAACTTAATGGAAAATAGTATTTAGGGTAACCAGATTTATATATCTGGCTTCAAAAATTATGAGGATCTTGAAATGATCACTTTTATCTATCACAAAGAGTCACTAAGTTTTTAATAAGAGGTGTCTAAATCTTCATAAAAATCAACAGGACTACCTAAAATTAGAAGACTCTCTCCCATTAGGGCTTCAAAACATCAAGGGCCAGAATCAAAGCAGGGTCTGGACCTGCCTGGAGATGAAGCTGAGGCTCTGAAGGCTGCAGCTCAGGACCTTGTCCTGGAGCCAGACGCAGAGGTGACACCACACGCAGCCGCATG